CTCCTCCTTCCTCCTCCAATTCCACAAATCCCATTCCCTTCTGGCACTGATGGTGTTACCTATTTGGGTCATGAAACGTCTGCAAGGAAACCACCCAGCCCAGAGAACACCAAGGGCCCCAGAATTTGGCTAGTCCTGGCATGGCTGTGATCTAGAACCCAAACTAAAAATAGATTTGGTGAAACAGGAGCAGTTGTCCCCATGGGTTATATTCAACCAGATGGGTATATTAACGTTACCTCTTTTTAAGTCCATCACCCCAATCCATGTTATTCGTCTTTCACTCAGATGGTGAGCATTGTAGACCCACACATCAAAGTTGACACCGGCTACCGAATCCACAATGAAATTCGCTCCCGGGACCTTTACATCAAGACCAAGGACGGGAATGACTATGAAGGCTGGTGCTGGCCAGGTGAGGAAAAAGCTGCAGGATGCATCCAGAGGTCAGTCAAGAGTGACAAAGATGAGTAGGGGGGCTGGAGGCTAAAACATACGAAGAACGGTTGCAGGAACTGGGTATGTCTAATGAAAAGAAGGACTAGGGGAGACATGATAGCAGCGTTCCAATATCTCAGGGGCTGCCCCCAACGAAGAGGGAGTCAAGCTATTCCCCAAAGCACCTGAAGGCAGGGCAAGAAGCAATGGGGGGGGGGGGGGAACACATCAAGGAGAGAAGCAACCTAGAAATTTTCTGATAGTGAGGACAATTAACCAGTGGAACTGCTTGCCACCAGAAATCGTGGCTGCTCCATCACTGGAGGTGTTTAAGATGAGACTGGGCAGTCATTTGTCTGGAATGGGATAAGGTTTCCTCCTTGAGCAGGGGGCTGGACTTGATGACCTCCAAGGTCCTTTCCAAGTCTGTTATTCTGGCAGCTTTGGGCAGGAGCAAGGTGGGCCTCCCAGATGCTGATAACCAATTTCTTTTGACTCCTCTTGGGTTTTGTAAAGCCAGAAAGGCTAAATCCCAACTTTATCTTCATGTTTTGGATCAGAAGTCTCCATTTTGACCCCTTTTATGATGGGTTAATCTCTCAGAATTCTATATGTTTCCATTGCTTTCCCGGTTTCCTTGACTGAACTCAACAACTTCTTTTCTTTTGTGTGTGTCAGAAGCATCGCAATGAAACTTAAGGCGTAGCACGCAGCGTAAACTTTAAAATAACCAGATTAAAATATGTACAAGTTAAACAGAAACCCGGCCCAGAAACTAGTAAATATCCGTCCCATTCTGTCCTTTCTCCGTCTCCTTTTCTTCAGGTTCAGCGGGCTATCCGGATTTCACCAACCCTCAGATGCGTTCTTGGTGGTCCAGCATGTTCGCTTACGACCAATACGAGGTAGGGGGGGGGCTTCCTGCTTTATTCAGATCTTCCTTCTGCTCTTCCGCTTCTTCCGGTCACTTCACTTCCCCTTTGACCCCAGGGCTCCACGGAGAACCTCTACACCTGGAACGACATGAACGAGCCTTCGGTCTTCAACGGCCCCGAGGTGACGATGCACAAGGACGCCGTCCACCAAGGGGGCTGGGAGCACCGCGACGTGCACAACCTGTACGGCTTTTACGTGGTGAGTGCCCTCTCGTCACGGAGTGGGTTTTTTTTGGGAACGCCAAGTGAAGCCGTTAAATGAGGAGAAGCTTGATGGAGAGAAAGAAGACCAAGGCAGCCGGCAAATGAATATGCCTCCAACCCATGCCAAGGAGGGTCTCCACCCAATTCACAAGGTGGAAGAGGGGAACCATATTCCAATTGGAATGGAATGGAATGGAATAGAATAGAATAGAATAGAATAGAATAGAATAGAATAGAATAGAATAGAATAAGGAGTAGAATAGAATAGAATAGAATAGAATAGAATAGAAAATAGAATAGAAAATAGAATAGAAAATAGAATAGAAAATAGAATAGAAAATAGAAAATAGAATAGAATAGAATAGAATAGAATAGAATAGAATAGAATAGAATGGAATAGAAAATGGAATGGAATAGAAAATGGAATGGAATAGAAAATAGAATAGAAAATGGAATGGAATGGAATGGAATAGAATAGAAAATAGACTAGACTAGAATAGAATAGAATAGAATAGAAAATGGAATAGAAAATGGAATGGAATGGAATAGAATAGAATAGAATAGAATAGAATAGAAATTAGAATAGAAATTAGAATAGAATAGATGTTGGAAGGAATAGAATAGAATAGGAATAGAAATAGAAATAGAATTCTTTATTGGCCAAGTGTGCTTGGACACACAAGGAATTTGTCTTGGTGCAAATGCTCTCAGTGTACATAAAAGAAAAGAGACATTTATCAAGAGTCAAGAATCATCAGGCACAACACTTAATGATAATCCTAGAGTACAATAAGCAATCAAATCATACTAGGAAACAGTCAGTATAAATCATTAGGATACAAGTGACAAGGTTACAGTCATACAGTCCCCAGTGGGAGGGGATGGGTGATAGGAACTATAGGAGGATTAATAGTGGTGCAGACTGTAAAATGAGGTAGAGACTAACTTAACAAATGTCCGGCTTAACAACCGAAGTTTGGGGCTCCCTTGGGCCATTAGCTGAGGACTCCCTGTATTTCCTAGACCCTGTTGGGGTTGAGCCCGGATCCAAGTTTCAACGCTTTGAATGACCCCTCTCTTCTTCCTTCCTCCTGGCAGCAAATGGCCACCGCGGAGGGCCAGGTGCAGCGGTCTGGCGGCCTGGAGCGGCCCTTCGTCTTGACCCGAAGCTTCTTTGCGGGTTCACAACGTTACGGTGAGTGGTGGGATTCAATTTTTTTTTTTATACTGCCGGTTCTGTGGGCATGGCTTGGTGGGCGTGGCAGGGGAAGGATACCGCAAAATCCCCATTCCCTCCCCCACCCCACTAACCTGCTTTCCAGCTCCGTTCTCTTGGGCAGGGGCCACCAAAGGAGACGCAGCCAATCAGCTGGGGACTCAGTGGGAGGCGGAGAATAGATGGGGGCGGGGCCAGTCAGAGGCGGTATCGGCCGGTTCTCCGAACTACTCAAACTTTCCGCTACCGGTTCTCCAGAACCGGCTGAATACCACCTCTGGTTACGATTAGTGGCATAAAGGCGAGAGATGGAGTAGCTGCGTAGTAGTCTTCCAAGCCAGGCTTGGGGGAGATGCAGGGGGACAGATCTTCAAGCCCCCAAGTTTTTAGGGATGTTGGGAAAAGACAGTGGCGTTGAGTCACTTATCAACATTTATCTCGGAAACGGCAGTTCACCAACATCGTTGTTAGTTTGTTGTTACAGTTCGTGGCTGCTCTCCTTCGCAGGGGCTGTATGGACCGGGGACAATGCAGCTGAGTGGGACCACCTAAAAATCTCCATCCCCATGTGCCTGAGCCTGGGTTTAGTGGGCATCTCTTTCTGTGGAGGTAAGCAGGGGACCTCCGAGTAGCGGCCGTCCTTGACTTATGACCATTCGTTTAGTGACAATCTATATATATATATATATATAAAAGCGAAATACCACTCAAGCATCGTCACAAAAATCTCCAGAACCGTAAAGCCTACAAACTTGGCAAATTTGGCACGTGTGTTCCTCTTGGTTTCTAGGGGCTCACTAAGAAAGGATTTTTCCAAATGACTATCAGAGCATTTAGAGTATTTCCTATGTTGTTGTTGTTGTTGTTATTATTATTATTATTATTTATTATTATTATTATTTATTATTATTATTATTATTATTATTATTATTATTATTATTATTATTATTATTATTATTATTATTATTATTAACACGCTATGATGCTAAGGAGTTGTACTCCCCCTCCCCACCCAAAAAGAAATCTCTTTCAAATACAAAACAGAAGCAAAGGAGAGGAGATTCAGTTTCACAGCCCCAAGCAGCTTTTAGTACAGAACAGTTGAGCTAAGCCACGCCCAGGCTCCTTGCTCACACAAGCAAATACTCTTTCAGTTTCCAAACACCCAATAACTATCTCACACACTAACAGGATGTTAGCCTTTTTTTTTCCGATGGAGGCTGGTAGGCAGAGGCAGACATCCCCCCCCCCCCTTATTTCCCTCCCCCAAAACTAAGCCCCACCACATAGTTTCGTAGCGAAGGACGGGGATCCAGCTAGCTTGCATATATAAAGGTGCTGTGAATGGCTCTTGCCCTGGCAACCACTTTGGCATCTCCACCGTCACCTGATCAAAATTTGAGAGCTTAGCAGTAGAGATGGATTTTGGATGGGTTGTGTTTTCATCATCTGTGACCTTCTAATTCCATCTTTTTCTTTTAAGTGTTTTATTTTTTTTTACAAAGATATCAGCGTGTGAACAATGTGGTACCTGAGCATCATACATTTCAATACAAATAAATGGAGATTAATCATATTTGTTCCATCTGATGGCCAGGAAAATCCACAGGGGAAGTCGGGTTTGCATTGTGACCTTGTGATTCACTTAACAACGGCTTAATCACTGTGTAAAGATTGTAAGACCAGGCATGACTGGCTTAACCCCTGACTTAGGAAAATCAGGCCTGGTCATGTGAGAACCGCGGCATCCAAGCTGTGAGATCCTGGTACTAAAAGAAAAGGAGAAGAATTGGAAAACCATGAAAGTTGCATTTAAGCATCGGATGGTCTTAAAATATAATTTTTAAAAGCAATTTTTTTAAAAAATGAAGAAGAAAAGTTCCCCTAATCCTCCACAGGCACAAATGAGCAGAAATAAAAATTTCTACAAGTCTTTTCCTGACGCGAAGAAGAAGGGTGGAAAAAAGGCCATTTTAGTCATTCCAGGGAAAACGACCCCAAATTGAGCCCAGAGTTTCCGTTGCGAAGTGGGACGCGGGTTCATTTCTCCCACGTTACGACCTTCCGTGCCACCGTTGTTAAGTGAATCCCTGCAAACGATTCAGTTAGTCACGACGGTCGTTCGTTGAATCTGGCTTCCCCGTTGTGCTTGACTTGCTGGAAAGGTCGCAAAAGGGGATCACGTGATCCTGGGGAATTTTGATCACGTGATCACAGGGATGTTGCCAACGGCCGTAAGCGTGAAAAACGGTCCCGAGTCCCTTTTTCCCAGCGCCGTTGCAACTTGGGATGGTCACTAAATGAGCTGTTGCCCATAGCATCCCAGGCCACTGATGGTCCCGTTTTCTCCACGTTGAACCGTTCTTCCCTGCCATGTTTAGCTGACGTGGGCGGCTTCTTCAAAAACCCGGAGCCCGAGTTGCTGGTGCGCTGGTACCAAGCCGGAGCCTATCAGCCCTTCTTCCGGGCACACGCCCACGTGGACACCACCCGCCGGGAACCCTGGCTCTTCGGGGACGAGAACAAAGCTCTGATCCGAGAGGCCGTGCGCGAGCGTTACGCTCTGCTTCCCTTCTGGTATACCCTCTTCTATCAGTCTTACCGGACTGGCCAGCCTGTCATGAGGTGAGTTGGAAGGGCTGGGAAAGAGACGGAAGGGACCCTGGTTCGGGTCCATGTTTTGCATGGAGCCCCTTTTAGCTAGGGGATTCTGGGAGCTGAAGTCCACCCATCTTAAAGCATGCGAAGTGGGGGATTCTGGGAGTGGAAGTCCATCCATTCAAACTTGCAGACCTGGGAATTCTGGGACTTGAAATCTATTCATTTTAAAGCATGCAGACCTGGGAATTCTGGGAGTTGAAGTCCATCCATCTTAAAAGCATGCTGGCTGGGGGATTCTGGGAGTGGAAGTCCATTAAAAATTGCAGACCTGGGAATTCTGGGACTTGAACTCTATTCATTTTAAAGCATGCAGCCCTGGGAATTCTGGGAATTTTAAGTCCATCCATCTTAAAGCATGCAGACCTGGGAATTCCGGGAGTTGAAGTCCATCTTAAAGCATGCAGAGCAGAGGATTCTGGGAGTGGAAGTCCACCCTTCTTAAAGCATGCGTACTGGGGGATTCTGGGAGTTGAAGTTCTGCATCATTTCCTCAGTCTAGCCATGGTGTTGTATGATATTTTCTTATTTCGACCATATTAATTCTTGCTTTTTGCTCTCTTGACAGACCGCTGTGGGTTGAATTTCCCCAAGACCCCACCTTGTACCCCATTGATGATGAGTATCTGCTTGGTGAGTGTGTGTGTGTGTCTGGCTGTCAGTCAGTCAATCAGTCAGTCAGAACCAGGAATGGCAAGGATGTAATCCTACTTCCTGGCCCCATTTGTAGCTTCCCACAGTCATATGACCACGATTTT